TTATTATTATATACACCATCTCAGCAACTGGACAAGCCGAAAACGTTCCTTCTGAGAGACTAGTTTTGTATAATATGTCTGACAAGCCCATGATTGCTTTTTCAATCTTTCCATGAAATTCACTGTCGTGTGTTTCTGGTTCTTTGTCTCCAAGTCCGCTGACATTCCAGGTCACCCCGAGGCTCTGGTGAAACCGTGACTGGCCTAACAAGCCGACAACGGGTAAGTCATGCTACGAAAAGTAAAAAGGGGAATACACGGACCGATTCCAACGGGAAAAGACCAGGAAAAGCTAGAATAACGATAAAAATAGGCACTTGGAATGTCAGCGGACTTGGAGAGAAAGAACCAGAAACACACAATAGTGAATTTCATGGAAAGAAAGAAAGTAGCAATCATGGGCTTGTCAGACATATTGTACAAACTAGCCTCTCAGAAGGAACGTTTTCGGCTTGTCCAATTGCTGAGATGATGTATAAAATGCTAATAATAATGTTATAATTATAATTATAATAATGATAATAAAAATTATAATAATAATAATAATAGTATAACTCCATTTATTTAGCTCATATCCACACTCTACAGCATGTTCTATGCACTTTAGCATTATTATTACCCCATCAGACCTTATTATTACCCCATCAGACCTTAAAATATGGTCCAGAAATATTCTCGGCTTCCCAGGAAGCTTACAGTGCAAGCTGCAGATTTTGTGCATGCTGAAACACTAACAAACTGACAACATCTTTTGCTGTCTATAGACAGGTACCCATTTCCACCTAAATCAAATGAGGAAATTTTGTGTAAAATGTCTTTGCCAAGGACTCAATGTTGGGCCCTCAACTGGATTTGAACTCACAACCTTACATTGAGAGTCTGAGAGCCTAGATTTGTACTAGATTTTTTTACATTAAGGTCAAAGTTTATTTATTTTTAAAATTTTAGATTGATAATTGTGCACTAGTGAGTTTGATTTTTCTGCACTGATCAAATCTTTCAGACCCCATCTATTGAATAAATGCCTCCTGTTCTTTTTTACTATTATAGAAATGTCTCCTTTTTTTTCTCTCCAGTGCTCCCTGTCAGACTTGGCAGAACTGGTGGAGCTCTTTGTCTCTGCGAATCCATTTACTATGGAAGATGGAGAAATGCCTACATATCATCTTCATGTGACAATGGCTTTACCTAATTTGGAAGTCATTGATGGAGTAAGTCTTTTTTAAAATCCAATTTGCTCAAATTGTTCTGTTGTTCTTTTTGAGATCAACCTATTGAAAAATTTTAATTTTAAAAACCTGTAAATTTATAAGGTTTTTCGCTCGCATTGACACAATTTAGATCACAGAGGCAATTGGCTGTTCAACACTGCCTGTCAGGGCCAGCCTAGGTTCCGAGGGAAACATCCCCACTGAGGAATCAGACTTAAGTTTTGGCACACAACCGCAACACCACAGACGCTGGATAACTTTTTTCAAACCACAAAAAACTGAATGAATTGAGAATAAATAGATGAGTTAGAAGCTTCATGATAAATGCTCAAAATGTTGTGGGTTGATTTGAATTATAACAGGAGCTTTCGAATTCTTCTTTGTGCTTTTCAAAGTTCTTTAGATGGTTCTCTACACTGAAGCAGTTTAAAGGGTAGTGAATACATTTTTTAAATTCTGATCCTCAGAATGTCTCAGCACAATGTGGAGGCTATATAATAAGTGTCGTGCTTGGAGTTTATTTTTAACATTTCTACTTGCCTTTGCTGGTTTTGTTCTTTGAGAATAGAGGATCTTGTAAGATAAGTAAAACTGTTTGAAAAAAGGTAGATGGTAATACATGGTGATTTTTGCAACTTTTTAATTTCACATTTATTTTGACGGGAACGTGAGAGACACATTTTAGTTTAACTGTACCAAAAGTTTTCTGTTCTTTCCATCTGATGACTTCTGTTTTCTTTTCTACCTATAATATCTTTAGCTCTGTAAATTTAGGTGAACATGCCTTTTCGTGTATCTTCATCTCTTTGAAAATAATTGCTTCTTCCTCATCCCACTGTATCATACTTTTCCCTTTTCTGATTCTTGTCTACTCGTGATGAGCAAAGGTATATCTTTACAAGCTTTAGATGTTTTCTTTTATTTCCATGCTGAAGCATTCTGTATTTATTCAATATTCTTAACAGATATGCTGTAAAAATCCCTTAGTTTATATTGAAAATGGACATCTAATTACTTATACTAGTTGTGTTCTACTTTTATCAATGATGAATGAAAGGGTCAGAGAGGTTCACATTGTCAAGACACACCATCATCTTTCTTATGAGATGTTTTATGAAATTAAAGCTAAAGAAAAAAAAGCTTTCAGTTTTTTTGTTTTTTTTAAAGTCAACACTTCTCCTGTTACCCTACACTATTAAAATATAGTGGAGTCTGCTTAAAACGAAATATGCGGGACTGGTGGATTTTCTTTGATTTAGCCAGGTTTTCAGTTTGGACAGGTTGCTCAAATAGAAGAATTAAAAATTGGGAGTGTTAATTTCATTCTATTTACTGCTGCTTTACCCGTCTCTTAAATAACCCAACAGTGTTGATAGGGGCTTTAAACCTATACTATTTTTTCACTCCTGCTTACGTGTTAAACATGTTCAGTGAAAGCAGACTCCTCTGTATGTATTAAAAAAGAAATTAATGTATTATTTGGTTAATATTTTTTTCTACAGGCTCAGATCAAGAGGCCGACAGGCAGGGCAGGTGCAGCTCCTGTCATGAGACCAATGTCTGCCTCCAGTAGTGAGTGAACTGTTATGTTGTATAGCAGTGCTGTTCCGTTAAATATAAAGTCATATCTGTTCAAGACATCCTCCTATTGTCGAGGAGAAAAATGGTCATTTTAGACTGATAGTTACCTTGAATATTGTCATTAACTCTTTATCTCCGTGGGGGTAAACCCTCTATGCTGGGGCCCTATTTTGGTACCAAATCTATAATTGACCTATATGTCACTAAACTAATCATTAAATAAAAACAAGTCAACCTATTTCGATAGCTGTTCATCTAATGAATGATCTCCCGGTAAAAGAGACTTGTTTTCGGCAATTGCGGAAAAATAAATTGATGTCAAAGTCGGCGCAAAGGAAAGCGCCTAAGCCAGCGGCTCTCCGGCATAGCGGTTTAGATTACGAGCCGCTGGGAGCGGCTTGCCGGAGTTAATAATGCGGCATTCTGGGAATTTTTGTCTTCAATGTTATCATCATATATTTGTGAAAGTGAATATTGAACTTTTGTTTTATACTTTTGTTTCTTTTTTACATTCCACATTGTTTCAATTTCAAGTATTTGATTGACTGAATTACTGTTCATGCTTGAAATATTATTTTCACTAACAGAATGTTTCTGTAACTGTTACAGTTATCAGTGTGCGACAGGTTGACTCACAGCTGAAGTCTGCAAATGCTGAACAAGAAACCTTACAGAAAAGTATTTCGGACAGGTTGGACTCATTATTGCAGTAGACTTTTCTAGTTGATTTTGCAGTCATAATGGCTTGCTGGAATTGCACAAAAAATTTGGTGCTGATAGAAATTCATGTGTCAGTTTATTTTTATCTCATCTTTAATATATTCTCTAGTATTCTTTTTTTCATTTGTCAAGGGTTCTGTTTTGGAGTTGTTGCTGTAAATTTCAAGTTGTGACAGTAGATCTCATGGCACAATTTTCATAATTTAAGAAGCAAATTATTCAAGAATCTGGGTGCATAAATCTTGCTTTAAAAGAAATAAAAGAGAAAAAACCAAAGCGGATTGATTCAAATGGCAGCAGACCTAGAAAAGTAAATGAACAGCAGGCTAGAACAATGATCGAAACATTCATATGGAATGTCAGCAGACTTTGAGACAAAGAACCAAAAATAGTGAATTGCATGGAGATAAAGAAAATATCAGTCACGGGTTTGACAGATGTACGGAAGAAAGGTAGTAGCTACAGATTGATTCATGAGAGAGCTAAACATGATGTAGCTTTCACCATACACCCAACCAGAGTTGATTCTATTGTCAAAATCAACCAAATTTCAGAGCCTAATGAGCATAAAGCTCACAGAAGGTGGTAAAATAACATCATACATCCAAACATCTCTACGGCATAGTTGGAGAAAGAAGAACCCCTAGGTAAGAGTACTTGACAGTTTTAATGACACAATAAGATAATAATAGCAATTGAGAAATGATACTAGGCCTATGTGCTGAGCACGACATGATGATCACAAATGCATTTTCCAACACAGGGTAAGCGAAATCAAGACCTGGTACAAATGGAATGATGTGAATCATGCATCAGAAATTGGTTTCTTCCTGATGCGCAGAAAACAAAGATATACAGCCAAGGATTTAGAAGTGGTCCTTAACTACGTTATCAACATTGAGCATAGACCTTTGATACTTGCTCTCACTCCTGCATTGTAAGGGGAAAAAGAAGCACAAGGGAAAAACAACAATAAATTCAAGAAAACTGGAACAGCCAGATATCAAGAGGGCAATTGGGGATAATAGCACTAAGAAGTACAATAAGCTGTCACCTGCCTGAGATAAAAAAATGTAAATGAAGAGTAGCAAACATTAACAAATTCCTTATTAGAAATACTGAAAAACAGATGTGGAACCAAGCGAACAGGTGGATACAAAGGCATAAAAAGATACTAGTAGAAAGATGAGACCAAAGAAGCAATTAAAAAGAAAAAGAAGCTTTTTGAAACATGGCGAAAGTAAAAAAACTAAAGACTATATAGCATACGGAAAAGTGAAAAGCGAGACAAAAATAATTAAAAGAAATGCTTTAAAAATTCAGGGAACATTTTTGGGAAGAAAACTAACTAAATCCTAAAGGGGTCTATAAAAGTGTGAACAGCATACGGATAAAGAAAGAACCACATAATCCAACGCACATCAAGAACTACAAAAAAGGAAAAGCCATTCTCAGCGAGGAGCCTGTAAAGAAAAGACAGGAAATTTTCTTTAAAGAATTTCTATACCCAGATGTTTGTCACAGACAACAAGGAGGATTCAAACCAAAATATGCCGAGCAAACAAAACTAACCACCCAGTTCAGAGAAATTGACAAGGCACTTTAAACCATCCGCAAGAACAAAGCTCTGGACCAGATGACATCACAGGAGAAGCCATCCAATATGTGAGGCATTGTGGTAAAATCAGGTGCTCGTCAAAATAATGATATCAAAGAACCCATCATTTTTCTGGCCGTTTGGAAATAGTTTTTTTAATTTTCTTTTTTTAGGACGAGCACCTTTTGTCCTTTCAAAAACATATTCTGTGAGGATTTTACTGAAAAAATGTTGATCAAAAGCACAAAAACATGTGTCACGATGCTGTGGAATCTGGCGCTTGTCCATTTTTTTGGTAGGTGGAGTTATTGGTATCATCTTAAAGCTTGTTCATTTATCTTGCTTTCAATTTAAAAAATACCCGTCTATCTTGAGAAGAAGTGAAGATATTTGCGATTGAAAGAGGTATGGTCACTTGGTTTCAGCAGCAAAAATAGTGAGAAAACAGCCGCCAAAGTTTGGTAAATCCAATTGCTAAAGAGTCCTGGAAAACTGAAAAATTACATATTTTGTGCTTTTAATCAATATTTTAAAATAATATTCACACGAAAATGTGTTTTTATTGGGACATAAGAGTGTTTAAGTTTAAAAAAAACCCCAAAAGTTTGATAAAGATTGCCAAACTGATGGGAAAATGCCTGTTTCTCCAATTTTATTTTGATGAGCGCCTGATTTCACCACTATACCTCACACATGTTAATTTTCCTTTTCCAAGGACACTCAGGCTTTGGAAGTCACCAAACTGTGGAGGCCGTTTTCTAGCTAATTTTACCTCTGACACCACACAACACCATCACCTATCAGCTTACACCCCTTCTATCTCATCCAAATATCTGTATGACACCAAGGGACAACTTATCACAGCTATGTTTATTCCAACATTGTGCTATCAATGCCAGACTTGGACTTAAAATATAACGCATGCAAGTTATTGCAAGCAAAATTGCTGCAAAAGAGGTTAACAAATGTCTCTGAAAACCCTTAATGTCACAAAAAGAGGCAAGCAGAGAAATGAAGTTGTAAGCGTAACCGTTGGCATGGAGTCCTGCTAGCCATTCACAGAAAAATAAAGAATAAAAGGGTTTGGCCATCTGTTTTGAATGCCATGTAGTCAGCCAGCCCCAAGAGCCTAAAACACCAAGTACTTAAACTACAAAGGAAGAGGTAGACCATGAAAAAGATGGATTGAAGGAGTCAAGGGAACCCTGAGAGATTACAACATCTCAATTGAAAGAGCTGCCGAGTGGATCTACTGTACAGAAAAGTGGGAAGACATGGAATGAAATCAAGAGGCTAACCCAGGGTAGAGAAGGTTGAAAAGTGTTTGTCCGTGACCTGTACCCTGGTGCAGGGTGATAAAGGCAGTGATATTATGATGGTTTCTCTTGCAGATTTGACTCACTCCGCAGTCTGTTCAACAGTCTCCCATCAGAAGCCCCACAGCCCCCTACAGATAGCCCCACATCAATGTTATCCAGTCGCTGTAGCAGGTATGAGTATCTCTACCCTTAAGCTTCTTTTACACGACACAAGACACTGAAGTGTTACATACTTCATCTCCTTCAGTTCATCTTTTTCCTTCTGTCTTCTTCATTTCTTGCTTATATCCTTGCTTTTGTTATTGTTCTAAGTCTTGCTCTTTGCTCTCTCCTTCGTCCTCCTCCTCCTCCAACTCTCCCTACTCCTCCTCCTTGTTCTTTACCCTCTCTTCCTTCTTTTTTTTTTCTTCCTCTTCTTCTCCTTCTGCTGCTGCTTTGTTCCCATTCCTCTGCCCTCCTTCTTTTTCTTCTCCTACTACTGCTGCTCTTCCTCCTCCAAATATTCATCTAAACTTGATAAAGTAGATCTTTAGTGTAATTGACCTTAGGTTTTGCATGAATCCCTTTCTCATGCCTGAAATTAAGGTCTCATGTCTTTCAGGTTGCCATGTGTGTTTTCAAGGAACTCTTTGTGTTTTATAGTGACTAAACTTCAGTTTCTCTACTTTTGGTTTAGAGATTGTTTAGAATTATTTTACTCTCAAGGACAAACCTGAAAAACCTGCTGTTCTTCAACTTTCAGTTTTCAAGGTGTTTTTATCTTGCACAACTAGAGCAGCTAACTGCTGATTTTTAAATTTTTTAAAAATGTGGCTGAGAATTACCAGGACTATGAAATTCTCTAGGAAAGTGCCCTTAATTTATCTCAAGACATTGCCTTGGGGAACCAGGGTAAAAAATATAATTTTGGTGTTAGATATACCCATAATTGAATTTACTTTTCAGTTCATCTTTCCTTGGATATTTCTACCCAACCTGGTGTGTGATATTTAGCCATGTGCTTCATCTTTGGAATGGCCTAAAAACGGCGTTGAATTTTAATACTGATAATCAACAAGTGATTCCCAACAATGACTCTTGTCACCCAATGGTGGCCTTTTTTTGCACTGGTCATTGAACGGGATGCATTGTGTGAGTGGAAATTACAGATATCAAAATGAAATTAAAGAAAAAGTCAAATACTTTTTCTTTTTGTCTTTTCAGCCGCCTTCGCATTAAAGAAGCTCAACAGTTTGCAGCAGCAAATTTTGACATCAGCGGAGATGACGACTTGTGAAGCAAATAATATGACACAGAGGGAAAACAAGGACAGCTGGAAAAAAAAATATTGCCAACACATGTAAACTGAAATCTTCAGATTCACCACGCTTTTAATTGTAAATAATTATGTTCTAAATTATTCCATTCACAACATTCTCATGTTTGTCGAGATGTTTGTTGTTCTGAGTTCTTAAGTATTTCTTTCATTTCAGTCTATTTTGTAATGTTACAAATGCTTATCCACCACATTGGTGTCCATACCAAACACACTTGTGTGTCCATTGATACTATATTACACACCTTTCTGAATAAAAATATGACAAAATTATATTATTATTATTTCAGGGAAGCAAATCCTAAGCCATGTTCTTTGTGTCATTCATTCCCCAATGATAGGCCCACTTACAATCATTGTACATTTCCTCCTTGCCAAGTAATTGAATGTTTTTAAAAGTGTGTTCCTATTAGTCTTGTGATCTATTCTTCTGCTTGGAAGGTTTGTTTATCAATGCTATATCATGTTAGTGTGATAGTGTGTGGACCAGAGGTCCGGCTAGCAAATTTTGATAGAGAGTAGTTTTTCACTGAAAGGTCAAGTGCACAAACGTTCTACGAGTAGGTCAGTTCAACCATTTCCATGCCCCTGTAGAGAAGCTGATCAAACAGCTGAGAATGTCATTCAGAACTGCTGAAAACATCAACTGAGGGAAGAGGTTTGGCATACTCCTGTGTTTCTCCAAGAGAAATTGTGTGAAGTGGAAGATGTGTTAGGGAAGACTGCCAAATTTGTAGTTGGAGCTAGTCACAAAATCACATGAACAGATGAGACAGGAATGGGTGATACTATACTGTAGAGCAAAGCTGGCATCAAAATATTATGCCTGTGACTAATAACAAAGGAAAAATATTTCGAGATTTAAAAGTTTCTCCGTCTTTCTGCTGGAGTGTTGTATCCCTCTCCGCTCAGGTTGGCCCTGACAGGCAGGGTTGAAGCTTCCTAAATAATCAAAACTGTGTCAATGGGAGCATTATAGCACCTACATAAAAAAAAAGAAAAAACAAAAGATTAATCCAGTCTGTTTCCTTTTTTGATAATATACTCTGAGACAAAATAAAGGTGAATAACTAAACATAAAATAAAACACACTACATTCAATAGGGTTTGTCATGTGTAAATGAAATTTGAACACTTTGCAGTCACACAGCCAGCAGTACAATATACCCCATCTGGTCACCCAGCCAGTAGAGCGACTGCAAAGGACTTCTCGAGCCTGGCACAGTTCACCGAAACGGATAATTTTCACCAGCGCATTATGGCGCCAAGTGACCACAAAGTGTTAAGTCATCCAATTTATACAGCCCCAAGAGTATCAATCAATAGGTGGCTGTTTTAGTGTAGTTTTAGCTTCACTATGTTATTTCTGTGACTTTGACCTTGGGGCAGAAAGTCAGTACCGTGTGTGATCTCATTGCCTGCAATAATCACTCTGCATCTTTGTCCCACGGAGTTTACATGAGTGTTTATTTGTTGACGTGTGATCAGTACCCACACCTGGCAGATGGCTGAAGCCAATCAAGGGGCTGTCCATGGTAGTACTTGCAGCTAGTTGAGCTGCCGCTGGATAGTGTCGCAAACTTGCTCGATTGCAGTTTAAATTAGTTGAACGAGGTGGATGAGGCAAAAGATTGATGTTGATCTACCCCAGGAACTGCTGTGTTATATGGGCAGTATGAGATCTCGTGTTGTCTTGCTGGACAAAGGAATTTAGATGCCTCTAAGAAAAGGGTACCATATGAGACTGAAGAACTTGGAGGCTTCAAATCTGTAGGCCAAGCCTATGTGACCTCATGAACACAAAGTCACCACTCGAATGATGTGACAAGTGAGTACCCGTGATAGTTGTCTATGTAGCGCTGAGCTAAAACCCCATTTCTTTGACCATGACCCATTTTCTAGAAGAACACTGGTTCAGTTCTATTATTTAGATCGATGGCATCCCAAATCATGACGTTGACCCTCCCCAATGGTCTCTCTCCCTCACGTTGGCATTAGCTTAGCAGGTCAGGTCTGTGCGCCACATACGGATACCCCCATTTGACGGATAAAGGCAGAATCTGGTATTGTTGGCAAATAGCACCCTTCTTCATTGTCTGCTTTTCCAGTTCATATCAGCCTGTGCCCACATAACTGGTCACGATGGTGCCGAGAGGTCAGAACTGGCCTGCGATAAGGCCGTCTGTACCAGAGACCTGTGGAGTGCAATATCAACTGTACGGTTCTGGTACTCGGGGTCCGTCCCGTTCATCCAGTGGTGTTCCTCGTAGTCTCAGCTGTTGTCAGGAACGGATCTAACCACTATTGGCACACCATGAGGTGATCTTGAACTGCAGTTGTCACCCTTGGTCCTCTGGCTCTGGGGAGATCACTGGTCGCGTTGGTGGCGTGAAATTGGTTCTGTAGACTGTAGATGGTGGAGACATGCAAGCCTGTAACAGTTGCCACTTGTTCAGCAGACTCGCCAGCTTTTAGTCATCCAATAGCCCTCTCACGATGTTTTGATGAAAGTCTCAGCATCATGATACTGCTTCTGTTTTCAACTGAATTCCATATTTGGAGGCTTCAAATCTGTAGGCCAGGCCTATGTGACCTCATGAACACAAAGTCACCACTCGAATGATGTGACAAGTGAGTACCCGTGATAGTTGTTTAGTTGTTTGTTGCATAAGCGACTAATCAGGGCATTGCATTGTTCTAATGAGGTCAATCTAGCAGGCTCCGACCATGCTTCAATGGAACAAGTAAACAGTAATCACCAATGGAAACTTTGGCCGGCGTTTTAGTGACTATGAAAAGTTCACGTTTATTTTGCCTTTGAGTATAAACTTCTTTCAGTCATCTATAATTTCTGTAAAGACTAGTCTTTTGTTGACAGGAAAGTTTATGTGTTGATAAGTGAATATCTAGCACTGTATTACATAACCAGGGGATATGGTTAGGTAGAAAATATTGTCCAAATTGTCTCATTTACATGCATATTACTGTGCAAAACTTTTTTTAGTTTGACATGATGATTTGATTTTAAAAGTTAGGAATGAATAATTTGCTTTAATGACCAATTTTTGTATATGTTTAAACTGAAATTGACTACATTATCTTTTAATCATTCAATTTACCAAGTACAATAGATAGACATTTCCAAGGCCTTCCCACTCCACCTTAGATATCATACGAACCCATACCATGGAATGAGCTGAGATTTTTCTAGAACAAATACTTTGACTGCACAGTGTGAGACTGTCGTAATATGTGTCACGATGCGGTGGAATCAGGGGCTCGTCAATTTTAAGGCATGTGCAGTTACCTGTCCCCGTCGTTTTATGCAAGAAAAAATTGTGAAATTATGCAAACTGAGCCCAAAATTGTGAAATTATGCGATTTTGTTAATTTTAACAAAGAATGATAAAGAAAAATAATCTGAAACTATGCAAAAAATTATCAAATTTTGCTAAATTATGCGAGGTTGATAAAACCACGGGGACAGAGTTACTAGCACCATCTTAAAGCTTGTTCACCAGTCTTGTTTTCAGTGAAAGAAATACCCATCTATCTTGAATAGAAGTCGAGATATTTGGGATTGAAGGAGATGGCACCCCCCAGGGCGATGCCACTGACTGAAGTGTCTTTAGGCCATTCCCATGGGGGGGACATTTCTCGTTCATGCACAGTAGAATTGTAAATGGGCTGGTTCATCAATGCCACGCTCATAACTGCCTGATCTACAACAGGGAACTGCTGCTTTTTCTTTCCTAATCCTTACTATTGTCATTTATCCTCTACTTCTTTTGTATGTTTGTCACACTCTTGTGACTCGCTATTTCCGGGGTGTCTTGATAGTTGAAGCAGACTTTGTGCTGTTGAAGCTAGAGAGGTGAGCAGAGTAAGTCTGATTCCCTGTAACTTCTCTGTTAACATCCACCCCTTGGCGCTCATATGACCTTATGCAGTTGCGAGCACAGTAAAACCTCTACCAAAACTAAACTAGAAGGAGGTGGGGGTGGCCAGGTTTCAGAGGTAAAATTAATTTTAAAATGCCACCAAAGTTTGGTGATTTCCATAGCTGTACAGTCCTTGGATACTGGAAATTTGCATTTTTACGCATTTAATCAAAGTTTTTCTGTAATATCCACGCTGAAATGGGCTTTTGAATGGACATGAAAGTTGTTGAGACTAAAAACAAAAATTTGATACATATTGCCAAACCGTCGGGGAAAAATCCTGGTTTCTCTGATTTCATTATGTTGACAAGGGTCTGATTTCACCATGATGCCTCACATGATGTCATTTTTCAAAATGGAGTATGGCAGAGTCTTAATTATACTAAGCAGTCCATCTGTGTGTAGAGTGCTTTAAGGCTTTAAATTGAATGCATGTTCCTATCCATGATTATGAAGTAAGATAATATAGTCAAATTGAGTAAACATTCTCCATCATTTTGTACCTCAAATTTGCCTCTTATTTTTTAAAATATCAGGGGAACGTCCCAAATCAGCTACATTTCCAAGAATATGTACTTGACACGATGTAGCTGGCCAACAGCCCATTAAAGTTAATTGAACTCAGATCTGGAGGAAAATCTTCATGTTCCATTGCATGTACCATTGCATTTCAGCAGAAAGTGTTGTGTGTACAGTCAAATTTGCTCTAACGGTCACCTTTACAAGACAATCACCTAAACAAACGGCCACCTACTCCCCCTCCTCCACCTTTTTTGCATTTTTTCTCATTATAATGACACTGTAAGATGGCCATTTATCTAAGCTGGCCACTATTCTCCTTGACAATGGCTGGCTGTCTTAGACAATTTCACTTGTACATGTATTTGTGTCTCATGACTGTTTTGTCTGTGGAGATTACCCTCTCAAATATTTTTCCTAGTGTTTTTAAAGAATTTATTCTACATGTTTTGGGACCCAATCTTCTGAATTAAACTTACTAAGCAGCATATTATTGTTTTAACTTGTTTTGTGTTACGTTTAAATCCATTAATATTATACAGAATGATTTTGAAATTGTTTTGTTCTTTAACTCTTTCTGTGTCGTTTACTAATGTATCGCTACAATTATTGTGTGTTGTACTAATAAATCTTAGCAAAAAAAGGATTAATTTCAGATGAGTCATTGGCAGGTGCTCTGATGTGTTTCGCTCTTTCTTTCCGTCCTAACATCTATTGTCATGATCTCTCCTCCTTTTCTTTGTATGTTACTCTGTCGTGAAATAAAAACTCATAAAAACAATATGTGAGGCAGCGTGGTGGAATCAGGCTCTCGTCAATTTTTGGGCTGTAGAGTTATTGGTATCATCTTAAAACTTGTTCACTTATCTTTAGTTGGATGAAAAAAATGTCCATTTATCTTGAATACAAGTCGAGATATTTGCGAAAGAAGGAGGTGGGGGTCACCTGTTTTCAGAGGTAAAATTAGTGAGAAAATGTCCGCCAAAGATTAGTTATTTCCTTAGTTTAAGAGTCCATGGTAACTAAAAATTTACATTTTTTATGCCTTTAATTAACGTTTTGCAGAAAAATCCACACAGAAATGAGTTCTTTAATGGACATGAAAGGTGTTGGGCCAAAAACATAAATTTGACAAAAGTATATAAACCTACGAAAAAATGCACGTTTCTTCATTTTGATTATTTTGACGAGAGCCTGACTCCACCACGCTGCCTCACATATTCAAAGCACCGCCAATAACTTCCATGAGCTGTTGTGCCAAGAACAAGTAAATATCTTCAGACTAAGATCCCACTGCACAAGATGAGATAAGATAAAAAAAGATAAATAAGATAAGATACATAATACTTTATTGTCCCTGAGGGACTCAAATAACTTTTAAATATAACACATGTGTACAGATATTTATAACTATAGTGTGGTAAAAAATTCGTAGTGCGACTTATCAAAAATCTTTTTACAGTTGAATCAATGTCACTCTTACTTTTCGCAGCAGTTTGTATCAATTTGTCTTGAAGTAATCATTATTTTTCCGCAACAATGTTAAATTATAAAACATGTCTTCATAAATTTATATAAAATACTATAAATCTCCGTCATACGGAAAATGGAATTGTTCACTGCACTTCCCACTTCTCACACACATTTTGCATCGCATTTGTCTTAAGTCATCAATGACACTTTTTTGTGGCAAATCTTAAATTGTTACAAGGAATAATTTTAAAGCGAACACTACTAGTTTTTACACTAAAGATTCTCAAAACATTCGTCCAATAAGCATATTGTCACTAATAGAAAAAAAATGATCGAAACATCTCCGAGGCCCCTTGTACAGGTTGCGTACAAGCGGAAGGGAGGAAGGTGTGGATGTGTGTGTGCGCGTGTGTGTGTGTGTGTGTGTGTGTGTTTTGTACGTGTGTGTGTGTGTGTGTGTGTGTGTGTGTGTGTGAGAGAGA